ACACAGATAGAGTTGTTTAAAAAGCTGTACAAATCTGAGTGCGTGAAGAAACAAAAATTATACACAGAAATGATAACATGAGGGAAGCTAGAGACAGTTGCCTGGCCGACACACTCTAAGCAAGGCCTTTAAATGGAATGGAAGTAGAGAAATAATAAAACAGGCATTAGAAGCAATATAGTGGAATATCAACAATATCTATGTACATATATAAATATTAAACAAGTCGAATATTATCTATTCTGCCTGAGATATAACTATTCGTTAAAATATAAAATAAAAGGCTGTTTTGCCTTCCAATATAATTACAAAAAAAAAAAAAAAAAAAAAAAAAACCATATACAAATATTTATCTAAGAAAGCTGTTAGCTTTCTGCAAAAAAAAGTAATTGAAATAAATAAATAAATATATATATAAATAAATAAAGGAATAATTTAAAAAAATAAATTAAAATAAAATATATACTATTTTTTAAATAGCATCTTTATTTTCGTAATATACTGCACTTCACATTAAAAAAAAAAAAATTGTTAGGTGCTTGAGGAATCTAACAGAACAAATATCTAAAATTTCTTTGCAAATAAAATTTGTCTAACCACCAAAACTTTCCATTTAGTCATGTAAATTTAGTTCCTTGAAAGTTTAGTAATTTGTATAGGAAATAAATATATGTTAAACAAATTTCCGATTCCATCAAAGTTAAAATTATGTAAAAGTATTTTATATTAAAAGTGGAAGTTTGTATATGAATATTATATCAAGCTAAAAGTTTTTTCTAGCATACAAAACAAGTTACATATTTGTATGCCTAAAGGCAAGTCAGCAAAATCTCTAAGGTTGAAGGTTTTATCCGATAAATCTGAAATAGTTGCAAACAAACTTGAATACTATAATAAAGTAGTGCAAGGTAAATATGCGGAGCTGCCATCAAATTGAATCTAGAAGGAAGCCAAACCGGGAAATCAACTTCTTATATGTCTAACAGCTCTAAACTTGAAACTATCAACGTATACCCTCTGCCCTTCCCTTATAGGGACTGTGCGTAACAGCGCGGAAACGTTTGATAACGCCGCGCGCATAAAAGTATGCTAGAAAAAGCAATTTTTTTTTTTTTTTTTTTTTTTTTTTTTTTATTTAAACAGGCTTTTTACTACCTAATTGGCAGCTTAACAAGTTGAACATAAAGACACAATTATTTACAGTACACACTACAGAAATTTCATAACAATAACAATATAACAATTAACAAAAACATCAACAAACAATAACAATTTTTACGTAAATCACATGCAATTTGACTTGATACATTTTTATAGGAACCTCGCAGGGAGGTCCTGTGGATGGCACTTCTTCAGTCTTCTTTTTCTGGCTGCTTTCTTAAGTCTTCTTGCCAAAGGGTTTGGGTGGCCTTCGAGTCTTGCAAGGTAGCTAGCAGCTACCTTTTGCATAACGTCTCCAACTTTGGGGACCCTGAGATCTTTTTCAATGTCCCTGGTACGCATATACCAGGGAGCATTGCAAATTTGCCGGAGGATTTTTGCTTGTGCAACTCTTATTTTATTGAGATTTGTTTTTGCCGCAATCCCATAGATTTGAAGCGCATATCTCCATATGGGGCTGAGTATTGCTTTATAAATTGTCACTTTATTGTATAGTGACAATTTATTGGCCGGCTTAAGAAGCCATGACATCTTTGCGCTTTTGGACAAAACAGACTTTTTGACCATCGTGGTGTGCATATTAAATGTAAGCCTTCTATCTAACACTACGCCCAGATATTTGTGGCTTCTTTTGTGCGGTAGTGTTGAACCCTGCATGCTAATGCGACCACAGTTTAAAGGCCTTGTGGTAAACGTAACGTTTGCGCATTTGCTCCCGTTAATTCCAATGTTCCATTTGCACGCCCAGTCTTCAAAACTGCTCACATACTGCTGCAACGACTCTGTAGAGAAAAAGCAAAGGCAAAGGCAAAAGCAAAGGCAAAGGCAAAGGTGATGCTATCCTATGCTCTGCCCTCTTCCTCTCTTCTCCTATTCGTGCTCGTGTGCTCCGTCGGTCGAAGCATAAGCACACGCCAAAGGCGGAAGTAAAAATGGCAGCGAGCAGACAAGACAATGAAATTGTCATAAATAACAACGCTCTTTAGCAACACCAAACACAGCAATGACCAACCAGCCGAGTGATTTCCTTTCTCGGCTCCCCACTCTCTCCCTCGCCCTCTATCTCGCTTTGTATTGTTGCCTTGCTGCCCATATTTCGTTCAGCTTTCATTTTTTGGATAGTGGCTCAACTCTTTTGCTTTTGACATTTCTGTGTGCCCCAAAGGGTATTTAGAGGGTATATCAAATTGGCGCGCGGAGGAAGTAGATAACGTTTGAGCAACGGCGCTCGGTTGGCCACTTGGCCGGATTTCTGATTCGCAGAGCATTCTGCAACACTGGCGGACCCCACGTTCCTTGACTTCATTCAACATTAATCCATAATGCCGAGCTGTCAAATAACTGTTGCACAACTGTTTTTACAGCGAAAGGCTTTTTAAGCAGTTAGCTCCGACACAGCTTATCAATTATTTCAAAATAAACTTGATTAATCCATATTGATTGAGTAGAATGAGAAATTAATAGAGGATCCAGATAAAATGAAGGCGCAAATAGAACTTGTTAAGAAGCAGAATTTAACAATAATTTATTTTTAATATTTTGTTTTATGTATAATTAATAAACAAATGTAAATATAAATGAAGAAAATAACCGAGAAAAGATTTTCGATTAAGTGTGCAAAATATAAGATATAATAGGTCTGCACGGCATATGTACAATATTATCCATTATATTAGATATCGATAAGTAACGGTTTAACATATCGAAATGGGCCAATTGAACGTTCTATAGGGCCTCTTCATGCAGGGTATTTGGCTGGCCTTTCACTTAGCTCTCTGCCACTGTCATCAGTTTTTGTTATCCTTTTATTATAATACTTTTCTTGTTTGCTTTTTTTTTTTTTGTGCTCTTTTTTTTTTTTTTTTTTTGTGTGTGTGGTTCATGGCTCGCTCTCATAACGGAAATTTCAATGGCTGCTGCTTAAAGTGACTTTTGTTCAACTTTGCGCTCAGCTATCCAAACAGACGAGCACTCGTAGCACTCATAGTTATCTAATCGAGCTACCAGAGGACAGGGAGCAGTCGCATTAAACTAATGTTTAGTTGCTTTCGTTACAGTTTTTGAGTGTCGACCCTCGAAACTTTGTCAGTAAATCGTGGCACGTGATGGGGGCACGAGCCGGGGCGTGACAAGGCGAATCGCTTCCCATGCTGCTTTTTACTATTCTTTTGCTTTGTATTGAATTGGATTTTATGGGCTGTGACAGTTTTGTGCTGCGAATGCTTTCCAGATACTTTCACAAATATGATTGGGCATAACTGTGGGGCTAAGTAAATTAAAGTATTTCTCTGCTTGGGCATTTAATTAGAAATAGTTGCAAATGCCCAACCTCGCCTCCGACTAATAATAGCCCTTTCACCACCTACAAGGACCTGCACTTCAATTTCAATTGGCTCTTGTGCTGTAATGCCGTGGAACAAGGCAACAGGGTGGCTACTGAAGATGTTTATTTGCACGGCTTTACAAAATGGTTGACGGCGGACAGTGCGCAATAATGCCGCAAATTGCGTGCAGTGTTGAGCAACAACTACAGCAGTAACAACAACAACAACAGCTTTATTTGTGGTCAGCTCTTTTGTTCATCAGCAAATTGGCAGTGGAACCAATTGCCACAGCTATTATGTTGAGGAAACAAATATGATCAAATTACATCGCTGGCAGCACTTGCAGATAAATGGGATGGCTTATCCGAAGGCATTTAATTACGAGCTGTTACGGCTCGAAGCAGAAAAGCTTAATGGTGCGGGGTTCTTTTTTTATCAATCAATATGGAAAGCAGTTTAAGAAGGAGAAAGACTATTCCTTTAAACGCAGCTCCAGTATGGCACAATACCTTAGCTAGACAATCCATTCACTCGATTGGAATTATAGTCAAATGATTTACTTATGAGGCTTTGCAGTTGATTTGAATTATATGAAAAGATTGACAGTGTGATTGTGGCGATGATAATTGCAGTACTTGCTAATAATACTAAATAAATTCACTTTCAAAACGGAGAGAAGTAATATATAGTAGACATGTTACAGCATTGGCTGAGACTTTGCTTTATGTTGTCAAGACCAGAAACTTGAGGTACCTATTGCTCTTTCTTTTATGAAAGTAAAATTAGTAAGAGGGGGAAAAACGTAAATAAAAAGCCCCATTAGGGTATTCTAAAATTAACATTAATTAGGGAACATTTAGTGGTTGTGTTAGGTCACAGCTGTTAATGAGCGTGTTGAAAAATCGAAGCATACTTTTTAGCTAATATAAACATATTTATATACATATATATATTTGTTTTTAATTAATTGATAAAACCCAAAGGTAAATTTTGTAATTTTCAAATTTGGTTTTAATTTAATTTTTAATAAATATTTAAATGTATTTTAAATGGATATGAAAATCAAAAATCAATTAAAGTCAAATGTCAATACGTTATGGTGTTCTATTTACAAACCTGCCCTACATTAAGCATTCATTAATTCGCTATCATTTGCATGTTTCACAATTGCTAATGTTGCCAACATTGTAGTATATAAAAGAAAATGAAACAAACGTAAATACTCATGCGAATTTCTCTTTTAATCTCTTCTTATTTCCTCTTTTTTAATACCGCACAGCAAAAATGCAATTACGCATTCAATTTAAATAAGGTTTTTTAAAAAATAAAAAGCGAATCATACACCACATATAAATGCGTAATGCAAATATTTAAATAAAATTAAAGCCAATAAGAACAAGCATATATACAAAATAAAATTGATAAACCTCATAGAAAACTCAACAATAACAAAAGTGTTCATAATTATAAAGAAAAATGTAGTTAAATAAAAAAAAAAAAAAAAAAAAAAAAACAATAAATAGAAATAAAATTAGTCAAATATGTTAAATACAAATTGCCAGCTTAAATTGCATCTGTATCTTTGTATCTTTTCTCTGTATCTATTTGCATCTAAATAACACTCAACTAAACTCAAAGCTCAAACTAAACTAAACTAAACTTTGCTAATTAATAACAAAAATGCAAACGCAATTTCAACCCAGATCAAATATATCGAAAATACCAATTAAAATTCGATTCAGTCAATCAGCCAAGCTACCAGCCAATCATCAATTGCAACTGCCATTTAATCATTCAGCAACATCCGCAACAACTACAACAACAACAAAAGCACACACAATAAATGCAACAACAAATGGTAATAATAATTAAATAAATCCTAAACGCACGTCATTAAATTCACCACTTAAAACGAGTTTAAAACCAATGAAAGCCAAACAAAACGAAAAGAGCTGAAAAAAGAAATAAAACAAACCATAAAAAAATAGCCATAAAAATATTTTTAAAATAATTTCTCAATTAATTATGGAACATTCATCAACATATTTGTTGTGTTTGTTCCATTGCCAAAACGAAAAGGCCGTCGCCCGCTTCCAGCTGCAGCCAACAAAGCAACAACAACGACAACCGCTGAGGCAAGTTAATAGCGAGACAACAAAAGCAACAACCGCAGCAAACAAACAACAACTGCAACTACAACAACTCAACGCACGTCACTCAACGCTTTCTCTGGGTAAGTACATCAAATATCGCTCCACAGAAAAAAAAAAAAAAAGATGAGCGCACATTCCCAAATAAAAATTTTGACTCAGCTAAGTTAGCGAAATGCACAAATTTAATTTGCACACAATTTTCAGCGCAGTCAACTTCCAAGTGGAAATCATAAAAACAAATTCCAATAGAGCGCACTTTGAATACTCTAGAAAATTATGAAGATTGGATAGAATACTCTCAAAGGAAATAGCATTAGCATAAGAAACTTGAGTGCATATAATTTCTTTTGGGATACCTAATGGGAGAATAGCAATAGACGAGGGTGTCTAAATGTGTGAATACGTGTATATATGCTAAGGCATATGTTATAGATACATAGATATATAAAACGAATTCGGTGACTTTGGCTTGCTTCTCAAAATGAGAAAGATATATTTAAATAGCCACGGGGCAAATATAATTAAAGGAGTATAATTGAAGAACAATTATGATTACCGTCTTATACTATATATTTACATCGCATACTTATTACCACATATATAAATGATTTCCCATTTTCAATGGGCTCAGGGTATATAAATGAGCTGTTATATGTTTCCAGATGGATGCAGACAGATATACAATACCAATAAGGTTAAATTGACGTGACTTCTCATTCTGATCGAAAATAACATAACAATCTCTGCTTCACATTGTTTGATAACACACTTGAATTATTGACACTTTCACAAGGTTTCGTTAAGTATGTATATAAAACTTTTGAGTTATTCCTTAAATTGACATTCTCAATGATTCAGTGAAGGAATATGTATAAATCAAACTTAAAGTCGTATTTGAATGTTCTCTGTCATTTATTAAAAATTCGAAAGAATTTTCTTTTGGACATAGACCCCTCTTCCTCTATTTTAGTTAGCACCTTAGTTTGAGTTGTCGAGCTTTTGAAAATTTAGTCTTATAAATATCAATCTTACGTTCTAAAAGTTTAATAACGAAATTCCATCCACGAAACAAATTATTCAACAAACAGGTTTCCCTAACATAGCCCAAACTGCAGTCGGTACGCCAACTGCGCAGTCAGCAGAGTGCATGTGTGTATGCGTGATTCTTTGTGTATGCAGAGAAGAAGTGAGAAAATTTTGGTATGTTGGTTCTTTGTAGGGCTCGTAGTCGATCGATCTCGAACCGAAATTAAATAAGTATATTTTTTAAGGCTATGCTAAACGAACACAATACATTCAGGTTAGGTTATGAGATCAACTAATACAGATAAAGTTCTAACGAATATTAGAGGTCTCATCTGATTCGTTTGCAGCTCTGGTGTGGGGCTCGCAGATCAATATCAATTTTGAAGTTGCCAGATGCCGAAAATAAAATGAGTAGCAGACATTTTGCTCCCAATTATCTCCAAAACATCATGAAAATAATTTTTTTTTAATGTGAGGGGTTTCTTGACATTAATTAAATTGTTGACAGATGCAAATTTCTTATTTAAGCATTGCCGAGTAGGGAGAGAACTCTCAATTGCTAGTCAATTAGCTTGCGTATATGCGATGCTTAATGCCGTATGCTCCATTGGCATGAATAGTGCATCTCCATGCACTCCAAGAGCTTGTCAGAGCGAGCGTCGAACAACAATCAAAAACGGGCTGGAAATACATTTTAAAAGGCGATAAAGCAACTGGCAACTGCGGCGCGCCGTCGCTCATTGCAGTAGGCAGCTGGCAGTTGCAATTGCAGTTGATATTTTTTGGCTGTTATGAATTTTGTATTGGGTCCATGCGCAAATCCAATAAAAATCACCGAAAGCAATTTTCGTTAGATGCACAAAAAAACAGGAATAAAAGAAAAATTGGAGGAAAAACAGGAGATTGGTTTGATGGCTGTAGTACGATTTTTTTTTTGCAACTCCGGCGAATGATTCGCATTCAAGGCGTTTTTCAAATGTTGCAAGAGTTCTTTTTTAGACACACCAACCACCACACACTGCACACATACAAAAGATGAGCAAAAATTTGTTGCAATTTATCGTAATGGATTCGCAGGGGAAACGTGTTTCGACACGTTGTAATTTTTTTTGTCGCTTTGCGATGCCACCAAACGAATGTTGCTTAATTTGCTTTTTATTCCAGTGGAAGCAAAAAATACACAAAAATGCGAGTCATTTGTAGCAAATGCTATTTTTTGCCCTCCTGCTCGGTTCGTTTCGAGCAATTTTGCTTCACTGCGAAAAATAATTGCTTCTCATTGAATGCTCAGCATCGATTGTACGCCGAAAATTTTAATTTGTTCATCATTAAATAAAGAAGGCTACTTTAAAGCGGTTTCCTTCTGATTTTCTATTATTCATCTACGAGCAATTCGTTCGCTTCTACAAAGCAAAAAAAAAAAAAAAAAAAATGTTAAAGCACGTTTTAAAGTGAAATGAGTTTTGATAGCGAAAGGCAAGAAAACTCATTTTAATTTAAGTAAATCAATATTCAATAATTTACTAGCCAAGTCAGACGTCAAAGCATTTGTTCTGAGACACTTTTTATTGATTTCTATTTTTATTTATTCCCCATACTAACTCAGTAAATATTTTATTGGCATATTCAATGCAAAATTCATTTTCCTTTTTATTTTTTGCACAAAATAAATTGAATTGGCAAGCTGATCGATTGAATCTAATTCAATCTTTCAATTATTGATGCTATTTCGGTGCTAAAAAAGCTATCGAATTTTATTTTTGAGCAAATTTCTTAGAAGATAGAATTGCCCTGGCGGTTATAAAAAAAAATATATATATATATATATATTTTTTTTTTTGTAAATGGAAGGTTGAGGCATGATATATGATGATGCTGTAACATAAATCCATTTAGGTTATTATTTTAAAAATAGAAGGACAAAATTCTTTACAAATTGCCATTTCAATTATGCGTTTTAAGATTTTAATTTCATTTTAATTCTCTTTATTTTATTATATTTTTCTTTAATATACATCCTGGTACATCATACATTTCTGATTCTTCAGCAATATTTATTACTTAACACCTTTGTGCGAGGGATCGCCGTTATTTACGTTTATACACGCATTTCTCGAACGCTTGTATTTCCGCCTTTAAAAAGGGCATCATCTAATTTAAATGCAGAATAGCGTGTTTTGCGCTGGTCAGCTGGTCGGGCCAGTTGTGAGTCTGTCAGGCTGTCGGGCTGTCGGACGTTTGTCATTTTGGCTGAAAAGTTCATTTCCCCAGTTGTCAACAGTTTATAATAGTTTTTGCCTTTGTGCGCTCGGGCCAACCAAGCGAACCGAAACCGAACCGCTCCAAACTAAACCCAGCTGCAGCAAGAGTTAGTGGGGATTGCCATTTGTTTGATGTTTCACTAGCAGTAAGCGTGTGCGCGTGTGTATGTGTGTGTGTGTGTGTATTTAGCTAGCCATTTCTCCATGTCTGGCACTGTCTCGGGGTCTATCTTTCAATTCCAGCTGGTTTATTTCATTGCTGCACAGGCAACTGTCCCATGCAAATCTGCTTTGCTGATTAAACCTAAATAATGTTGAGCGCTTCCTTTGCTGTGGCTGGTTTCAGTCTCAGACCCAGCCTCGCCCCGCCCCCGCCTCGCAGCTCCTTTTGTTTGCATGATGCTTTAAGAGATGCAGCATCTGCTCTTTTATGGCTGAATGCCACAGTGTATAATGGCTATGTGATTAGGCCTGCCCGCTCACTGGGGAAATCACGCTAGGCCAAAGCAAAGTTAATGCTTTACCCATCACATCAAATATTTGCTTATTGAAACCGAATTGTATAAAAATTCAGTTCAAAGTTACTAAAAGGGGTTGTCTTTAAAGTGCAATCAGGAATATAAATACGTTAATTTCCTGCTTCAAGTATAGACAGTAATGCAGTGATGATCCATTAGCTGTTCCAGTCACAATTTAATAGGATTTTTTATTTTTTTATTATATACATTTAGTTATAAGTAATGATGTCACGACTAATGATATGAAGCACAATAATTAATTATTTTGTTTCTATTGAAAATTTAATGGTATCGGAAAATGGGTTGCGATTAATTGAAACTCTCTAGAGTCTTCGTGGAAAAGTTTTAGGCACATCAACGGCAGCAGAACGGCTGCTACTGTTACGGAGCATTTATTAATGATTCATTGATTATGATTATTGGTTATTGAAATTAATGATATCGATAATAATCGATTCATTTTTTTCTTTCCATTAACAGTAATAAGTTGCTGAAATATGAAAAAGTCAATGCCAAATATATTTCATCCTAGGCCTGTACGGCGTATTTTGAAAATATGTAGGGTTGCCAGATGCGACCGTCATATTCGACACCTCATATCTTGTGCATCCCTTTATATTATTTCATACACATCTCAACATCTGGATCTATGAGAAAATTTGTGCATAGAAACAGTATATATTTTAAAACTTTGATATTCTATACAGGAGATACGTAAATATATACAGTAGAATCCGGTTATAAAGACTCCTTTTATAGCGTTCGTACGGTTATCGCGACGAAAATTCTGGTCCCCCGACAAACTTACATATATGAGCAACTTATAACATCTTCCGGGTATAACGACGGCGCCTTGAGCGTGGCTACAACCGAATTCTCCTGTATTTATATTGGAATCTTAAAACATGAATTGCTATATACATATGTATATTATATTCTATCTATTTAGACTTGAATAAGTAATCAAATATACTCAGAACTGCAGAACAACTATTGGAAGAAGTTTAGCTGAAATATATGTACCCAGTTGAGTCCATTCAGCATGTCTACATTCACTTTTAGCCATTAGCTCCTATAATAAGTTGCTTCCAGAAAGCTGCTTTTTATGTCAAATTCGTTAACATTAACTGTAGCCAGCGGCAACTCAATCATTTGGCTAAGCTCTGGTTAAACTCTTCTTCAGTTTGTCCTTGCCAGGCAAGGGCATTAAAAAGTTGTCATGCAGCTGGAGCTAGTTTTTTGTTCATTCACGTTTTTACCTCTTGCTAAATCTGA